AATTGCTGGGTCACAGAATGTATACACTCTTCTGGCTTTGATGTATCTTACCAAATCGTCCTCTAAATATTAAGTTCTTCTCTGCTTGAAATACCTACAGTGGTTTTGCTTTCCTGATGGACAGAATAGCCAACCATTAAAATTATCTTTGAAAATCTGATAGGAGTTGTTCTTGAGGCTGACACGGCACCTTTCAATAAGTCTAACAGAACCAGATTTTCTACAAGCAATGGAAGAGACTGCTGGTTTTTTGTTTGTTTTTCCAGTTGAACACCAGATAAATTCAGTGACTTGCTTTGAGAGGACATCTTATATGAAAAATACCTATCTTTGAACACTAGAATCACACTCTGGAAGATGAAATGCACAAACTGTGGTAAGTACAAGGGAACAGAGACCAGTTTGAGGGAAGAGCAGATCCGAACTTCTGCAGAACACTTGTCTAATACGTACATACATTGAGGACACCCTAGCAACTGGAACGACAGAATGGCACCCATTATGAGAACTGTTAACTTTCTCATTTTTGCTCAGCATACATACAGTTGAACCCACAAAATGAATGTTCATAGGATGTGACTGTACCCTCTGCAGCAATTAGAGGGACTTGGGATACTTTGTTTTATAAAAAACCATTAGTTGTTATTATTTTCAATATAATGGTACAAAAATATTAAATCAATTCAGCTCCTCTTTTTCACATTCAAACAAACTTTAACATGAATAAGTTCTTAATGCTCCACAATGGAAGTTATGATTTTATACCCCTTCCTCTGGCCACTGTGCATTCTTTATTAAACATCAATACTGAGAATAGCTTTACTGACACATGTATATAAGTACAACCAAATTGATATAAGAAGAACAAGAAACAGTAACCTCTGCTTAACTTTCTTCTGAGTCTTCCGAGTCTATTATGTCTCCCTCACTGTCATTGTCACTGTAAAAGATGTCTTTAAACAGGAAAACTTGCTTGGGTGCTGCAGGAGTCGGGATTTTATTGCATTTTTTCTCCATCTTCTTTTTTAATTTTTCTTTAAATAAAGGTAGACTAGTCTCATAAAGGTAGTCGATGATCTCTACAGAAAAGAAATTTAATTTTGAATTTATTTGTCCGTACAAAGCCTCTTAACACCACCAAAGGATACAGGATAATGACATGCACCACTCCTGTTATTACTACATGTGAGGTCCCGTCCTAGTTGGTTTGTTCATATTCACTTATTCAATCCTCACAAAAATCCTATGAGGTAGGCACTATTTTTAAGGCATTTTTCAAATGAGGAAATAAAGGCATAAAGACATTAAGAAACTTGCCCAAGGTCATGGAGTTAATAAGGATTCAAACCCAGGCAGTGACGTCTGCTGAACGCAAAGAAGGATTTCGTCACACGCTGCAAGGTGTGACATCATCCGAACCAGCAGTGCTGGGCTGATCCCGAGAGACCTCTCGCCAATAAGCTTTTAGAGAAAGTGCAGACTCTGGATCAGTCCGGAGATTAGGATTCGGGAGGTCTAGGACGAGGCCCAGGAATCTGCATTTTTAACGAGTTGCTCACATGGCTATGAGGATCTGAGCTTGGGATTTACGTATCTAAACTACCCACAAATGGCTACGAAGAAGGAATCAAGCATCTTATACTCTTTCTGGAACAGCATGTGTGTCACATGTGCATGCATGCATGTGGTATGTGCACACGTGTGTGTACTAGCAGCCATGACGGCAATACCAGCAGCACTCAGCCATCTACTAAGTCACTAAGTGCCAAGCCCTGTGCTGAACATATCTTCTCTCATTTAGCACTTTTGAAAGTCCCGTCAGGTAGGGGTTATAATTTGCCAGTTTTCACCATTTTACAGTTGAGAAGGCTGAGGCTTCAAGAAGTTAAAGTCACTTGCCCAGGTGACTCACACTACCAGCATTGTGGCACCAAAAGTCGTGTTAACTGTACCAATCTTAAGAATACTGACCTGGAAAAGTCTTTTTCTGCCAAAAGGGAACATAGGTAGCTTTCAGCTTGTAAAATTTAGTTTGAACATAAGATGGAGGAACATCACTTTAGAAAGGAAAAGATTAAAAAAAAAGTTAGTCTAAAAATTTATCATTTCAATGATGTGCAGTAAGTACGTTTATTAAAGTGAGGTCTAGAGATATAGGTAGTTTTCTCATCTGGAACATGAAATCATCATGTCCATTAACGTGTGATAAAAATAAGACACATATGAAAAGCTATTGTTTGATTTAAAAAAAAAAGAAAAGAGAAAATCAGTAGTACAAGATGGATTCTGTTTAGATTTAAATCACACTGGTTGAGAAGACAAAGTCTAACACAAGCTGATGTGTGTGACACTGCCCTGGCACTTGGCACTACCCTCGTGCTTTACATAATAAGTCGTCATGATGCCTCCATGATGGAGCTGCTACTCTTCTCCTTCATTCTGGAGATGAGGAAACTGAGGCACAGAAGTTGCCCAAGACCACACAGCTATTAATAATAAGGGATGGAGCTGGGACTTCAAGTGGGTCATCTGGCCAGACCCTGCACCCACCACGCTGTGGATACCTAATACTTGCAGGAATTCAAGGGCAGGTGCTCCCTGATTTTTTATTTTGCAAAGCTAAAACAAGCAGATGCTTATGATGTTTTGCTACATTTTCAATTACAATTACATTTCAATTAACAATAAGTGGGACAGAAACATTTTCAATTTACAATTAGACATGGAAACAACTACGTCTTAAATTTTTAAAGTAAAAATCACTAACAACTTTCTGGACACATTTTCTTAACAAAAGCATGCCTTTTTTTGAATAATTAATCTAGTTATTAAAATGATTAGCATGAATAATTTTTCTGGTAAGTATGCACAGGAAAGATGATCAGATTCTTCCAACCCGATTCATTACGGCGACCCCTGACTGAGCACGCGTGATGCTCCGGGCGCCAGGCTGAGACTGCTGTGCATTATCTCCGTTAGTCCTCGTAATGGCCTGCTAAACCATTCTGCAGATAGGGAAACCGAGGCTCAGAGACAAGTTAGCGGATAACCTGTCTAAGGAAGGTTAACTAAGTGCAGTGCCTGGACTCAACGCCAGGTCCATCTGACTCTGAAGGCCAAGCTCTAAGGCGCCCCTGC